AGTGATGTAGGCTGCCAGCCAGTGGTTGGTGGCCAAGAAGCGCCATAAACGTGAAAAGCCTCACTTCAGGGTCCGGATATCCGGATCGGGGGGTGGGGGCGAAACCTTGCCCCGAAACTGTCAATTCTGCCCTGCGGCTTGTCGAGACTTCTGGGGACGCCCAATGGCGCAGGGTGATGGGTCTCGAGGAGGTGAAGAGGAAGGAGAGAGAGAGGGCCCGAAGCTGCTCCCGGGAGGAAGCCAGAGGCAGGTTGGAGCGCCACCCTCGTCTCCATTTTGTGACTTCACTCAGATCGACACATCAGGGACGACCCTCTCGGCCACACTCGAGAAGGGACAGATCGGGAAGCGCTCCAGCAAAACCTGGGTATTCGGCAATGCCTCAAAATGGAAACCCGAGCCCATTCAGATTGCAAACGCTGTTTTCTTGGAAGGATGCTGGCTTGGTGCCGGGCTCATGCCCCGTGGTCCTCTCTTTCTGCCGGGAGATCCTGGGGTTCTTTAAGTGGCTCATGCCAGCTCTCGCTCTGAAGCCCGCCGGAAGACAACGGGACAGCAGAAAGGGAAGTGAGTCCTTGGATGGGCCTACCTCTCTGGGGAGCAAAAGATGTTAAGGTTATTGATGGGGGGGGTGTTCTTCTATCTGGTGGGAAAGCCCTCCATACGCAGCCGCCTCCCGAGGAGCTGAGGATGAAGCGTTCAAACTTTCCTCGTCATATTTTTCTTTTTTTAAAAAAGAGAATGTTTTGTTCACAGTGAGCAAACGACATCAAAAAGGAGGTGGGGGGGAGAAGAATGAAGTACGGGAAGCGCTTAGCGTGGCCTTGGTTTTACCAGTCTGACAGTGGGTGGGTTTATAACAGAAATGCTGCTCTTTTTTGGCGGGACTTCCCTGGAAGGGGCCTGCCGGTCCCACAGGTAACTGACCCCCATCAGCTCTCGCTTCCATGTGTAAGTCAAGCGGCAGGCACTGCAACACATCTGTCTTCTCGAGGGCGCAAACACGTGGGCTTCCAGATGGCTTGGCTGGGAGACCCACCCTCTTCTTCCCCACGGCGCCTGCTGAGCACAGCATGTTCAAAAGGCTTTCCCCCAAAAATGCCAGAAGCGGGATCGTCCCTTTCTGTCTCTCGGGCAAAGTCATCTGCTTTCCAGCTGGCTTCTTCTTAAGTTCCAAAGCGGCTCGTTTCCCCAGCCGGGCCCGGAAGCCAAGCGGGATCACAGAAGGAGTGCAGGAGGTGGGCGAGTCTGTAGGAAGACCTCCTGCGATGTTCTCCTGAGGAGCAGGGGCTGCTAAGCGGGCCCAGGAGTTACGTGGAAACATCCCAAAGACAGAGGTCCGAGGTTGCAGTGGAATGGAGATACCTTTAGATGAAGAAGCCAAGACCTCAGGCAAGTGGAAAGCAAAGAAGCTTCTTCCTCAAGCTCAGCAAGAACGTCCGTCCCAAAACAGACAAAGAAGCTTCAGGGTTTTGGCTGGAGATTTCAGCTCTTCCCGGTCTGTCTGTCCGACGGCTCGCTTCTCTTATGGAGGCTCCAGGTTTGGGGCTGGCGATGGTGGCCGCTTCTCTGGCTGAGGGCTGGCCACCGACACCCGCTTCCAAAAGAGTTACCCACTCCAAGGGTTGCCCCCCCCACGCTGCAAAGTGCAGTAAACTAAGTTTTGCTTGTTTCTCTCCCCCCACACCCCGGTGCACAATTGTGCCAAGTCCGTGCAAAGACAAACAAAATAAATAATCGGGTTTGGAAGAAAAGTTCACAGTATCACATACAGCTGGGTGGCTACAGTAGTGCACTTTGGGAAAAATAATATATATACGTCGGTCACTATCCAGAGTTCACGGCCCCAGCTGGGTCTTTGAGGACCCCTTCCTGAGTCAGGATCTGCTTGTGGGGGGGAGACCATTTGGGGGGGAAAGGGAGGAAGGAGTGAGGTGCTCCGTCTGTCTGGCAAATGGTTTTGGGGTCCTGGAAGGCGGCCGGACACCGGCAGGGAGTCCTCCATTTCCCCTCTTGCTCGGTCAAAAGAACAACAGGGCTGGCCAGAAGGGGATGCTTGGGCTCGGCAGCTGAAGGGCACGCATTCCTCTCTGGGAGGGGAGGATCTTGCATAGAAGTTACTGCAAACAGGGAAACAAGAGAGAAAAGGTTCTCCAAGCGCTCTCTGATTTTTTATTTTTATTTTTTGGACAACAGATGATGGCTTCTGAGGTGGAAAGTTCAAATCGAGACCTCTCTCCTCCCCGCCCCCAAAAATAGGCCCACTGGGTGTAAAACCATTTTAGGAACGTGCTTTAAAAGTAAATAGAAAAATCTTAGTCCAATACAACAAAGCTGTTCTCACCCAGCTTTGAATTAAACTCGAACACGGTCCTTTTTTGTACTCTTCCCCCCACCCCGCTGCTAAAAATCAGCCTGTCCCAGGAAGCAGAACTAAGAGTAACTTGTAACTTCCGAGATCTTTGAATCTGTAAGATCTTGGAAGCCATCCGAGTAAGGCTGCCGGAGAGGGAAAACCACCCTGTGATGTTTGCAGGCAGGCTCGGAGTGACTCGACTTCCATCGCCCAAACTTACGGCCTGTTTCCCCCTTTTTCTAAAATAAAATGGTGTATTAAAAGCCACTTACTGTGTCACTCTCCTCGTCGGAGACTGACTGAATCTGAGCGGTATAGTGGAGAGGGGAATACACCCAGCTCCTCTCGTCGGTCGGCGGCTGGGCGGCAAAGCAGAGTGAAAGCGGTGGCAGCCGAGGCAGGGCAGAGAGAAATGGAACGAGAGAGAAAAAGGAAAAGAGAGAGGGGGAAAAACCGTGGGAAGAATAGGACAGAGGTGAGAAACACAGCAGGACGGAAGAGAAAGAGAAAGCACGGAAACAGAGCCCAGCCCGAACCCTGCAGACCCCGCTGGCTGACCCCTGACCTAGAGGAGGTGCTCACGCTTCAAAAACGTGCCTCCTGCGTGGTTCTGAGACCCGCTCAACAGCCGGGGAGCTTTGAATCGCCAAGAGGGGTCCCTCTGACTCTCCCAAAACCAAAGGGATGAAAAACCTCCTAACTGTTAGACAGTACGACAAGACACGTGACGTCGGGGGGGTGATGAGCGCTCCCACGCTGGAGAAAACAGGACACCCCCCCGGTCGGTCTGATCCGCTTGGACTTGGGATCCCTGCCTTGAGCAGAGGGGGTTTGGACTGGATGGCCTTCGAGGCCCCACTTCCAACTCTGTTATTCTAGGATTCTTATCTCGTGGCAGGGAGTTCCACAGTTCCTGACAAAGCCGCGTATGAAGCGGTCCTACCTTGGCCTGGCTATCCGAGGGGGACGCTGCAGGATAATGACGGAAAGAGAGAAAAGCTTTGCTCTCTCCGCTTTCTGGTGTTTTACGCACCTCTCGCCTGCTTCTTGTTTGCCAAGCAGGAGAGAACCAAAGCCCTGTAATGCTTCCTGACGAAGGGGAAGAGCTTCACTTGGTTTTGACTCGCTCTGCACACCTCCCCTGCCTGCCTCTGCATTATCTTTTCGGAAGCCCAGTGGCCAGAGGTCCACGTGGCGTCCCACGGAAACCCACCACAGCCACAAGCGTGATCTTACAGAGGGACGGCGCACAGAAATGTCATGAACTCACTAAGTGGGACACCAAGTCAGTCTTTTGCTCTCACTGCGAAGACTTTGCACAGGGAAAATTCCCAGGCAATTTCCTAAAGCGGTTGACGAGGATCACCAGATATACCAAATATAATAAATTGACCGGATTTGTTAGGTGGGACTATCCCACACCTAACAGAGTCCAGTTATGCCCCTTGGGCCATGCCCGCAATCGCCATCCCAAACCTGGCATTGCCAAGCTGGGCCTGGGGGTCACTTTCTCCGCCGGCTGAGTCCACTTACATCCCCAGAGGAAATGGAGGCGGCCCGGAGCCTACGCAGGCGGGGGGAGTAAATCCAGTACCTTCCGTCTGTGAACTGGATGCGGCACGAACCCGGGGAGGCAAATGAAACGGGGATGGAAGGACAGGAGGAAGGAAAAAAAAGAAAGAGGGGTGGGGAAGAAAGGGGGGAGATGGTGAGAAAGGATGAGCAAAAGGAAAATGAAATATAATGAAATCGGGACAGGCGAGCAGATGTGAGCATGAGAAAAAGAACCCAAAAGGGAGGCTCTGCATGGGGGGGGCAAGGATGTTGCTGGTGCTCAGCTGCATGAGGAGGATGCTGGAGGTTGGATGCACATGGCCAGCTCTGTAGGAGGATGTGGGGCGGCAACGTGGGTCTACCCTCCGGGGAACTCAGTGACACGCTTGCTCAAAGGCTTTGCCCATTACAAAGAGAGTTCACAGCAGTCATCAAAACCTCCAGGAATGGAACGAAAGGCCTCTTTAGCCTGGAAAGGTGGACGGGGGTGACTGGTGGAAGAAGAGAGTCTTTCGAGGCCCCCTCGGGGTGTATCTGGGAGGGGAAGCAGAACAGGGCCACACTTCTCTTAACCCCCACAAGGCATGCCCCCCCCTACACACACACACATGCAAAAGAAGACACACAAACACACACAGAGGGGGGCAGGAAACATCGGCCGCCCTTCCTCCCATTTGCTTCAAAGGGGCATCGACCATCCGAAACCTCCAAAGCATGAAGCAACTCAACAACTGAAGCCTTTTTTTTTTAAATCACAAAGACAGGCTGCATTTTCAGTCGACATGCATTTTAAACCACACCACGCCGCTTTTTGAAAGCAAAACCCCCAACAGCCCATAAATTCCCTCTGCGGGGTCACTGGAGAATTCAGCATGAATGGGACATCAAAGCACCTGGGTGCCTGTGGGGTGGATAAAACAGCAGAGAGACGGAAGCTAGGCTGGCAGGTTTTTCCACCCTGTGAAAGAGGGAACTTGGAGCGACAGGGCTGGGCTCTTCGGGTCCAAAAAGGGCCATCGGCAAGGGCCAACGCTGAAATTTAGGGGAAGAAAAAACACCCCACAAGCTTTCCTGGGTCCCGTGAAGGTCCACTTGTCCTGATTTTGCCACTCGGGCAGAAAGCAGCTTTCTCCCTTGGAAGGACTGGACTTTGAAAAAGTCAGAGCATGTCCGTGGGTGGGGAAAGAGGAGCAACGCTTGTGGAAAAGTCAGAGAGCAATTCCCAAACAAGGTCACGCCATGTAGCCAGACACTCCGTGCAAAACCCCAGGCCACTTACTCCCCTATCTCGGCCTCCCTAGACGTCCTCATCTGAACTCATTTCCGGCTGCGGAGGGGGGGAAAGGAAGGTGTTAGTTGACTCTGAGCGGCAGGAATCCCGTTGACGGGGGATGGAATCGTCTTGAGAATTTGAGAATCCCCCCCCCCAAAAAAAAGTTTGTTCGGCCTGCCACGGCTGCCCGAGATCAGACACCTTGAGCCAATGAGAGGATGGGAGCGGCGTCTTTCATGTTGGGTCCACCCACTCCCTTCGAGAGCCTGCGGGGCAGGGTGGGCAACGGGCCGCAGCAGAGGCAGAGCGAAAAGGAGCTGGAAGGTGGCAGGACAGAAAAGAACCCACCTTACTGTTTTTTTTTAAAAAAGAGGACTCACAAAATAGATGTCGGGGACGGGCAGATCCTCTTCATCGGAAGCTTGGCTGGCCGGCTCAGAGGCCTGGCTGGCCGTCTCGGCTTCGGCGGCGGCCGATGAGAGTGTGGCGGCACACGCCGACGAGGCTGCCTCCCTGGAAAGGAACCAAGAGGGGGTGAGGGTGGGATCCGAAGCAGCCCCGGCCTTTTTGGGAGCTGGCAAGAGGCCATGGATTTCTCAGGGTCCCCAATGGCTCCAGGCCTGGAGGGAAATCGTCTCCCCTCTGCTCGGCCCTGGTTAAGCCTCCCCTAAAGGGCCGTGCCCAGTTCTGGACCCAACACTTGAAGAAAAGGGGGCTGGCCAAGCGGAGACGGTTCAGAGAAGGGGGTTGGACTTGATGGCCTCACAGGCCCCCTTCCAGCTCCGTAATTCCGATTCTGCGAAATCTCTTTCTATAGGACGCCCCTTGGCCGGGTGGCTTGAACTGAAAGTCGCGAAGTGGCCGAGCCAGGCTGTTTGCATTCGGACCCTGTGATCGAGAGAATGGGCTGTTCGATTAACACTTGCTGCTGTGTTTTAAGATTAAAGCCCTTTCCTTCTGGTGATTGCGTCGCAAGAAAAGCATCTCCGCCATTTCCAGTTTTGTGGCCGTGGCAGCCAGCAGACACGCTAGGTTTCTGCCAAACGGTCACATCGCAGGGAAGGGGGGGGTACGGCCTTCAGAGGGAAACCAGGGGGCGATTCGGGGGCCCAGGGCTCCCGGTTCCATCCTTGGCTTTACAGAGGAAAAACAACCACCACCACGGAGATTTCTCAGAAGTGAGTGGTGTGTGTTAGACACGGAATTAACACGGCTCAATGCTTGGAAAGCTGCCCCAAGGAGCAGGGTGGAGGTGGAGGAGCTCCCAGTTTCTCCCCTTTGCTGCAGCGATGCTCTCACCCGCCGGCAGCCACGTCAGGGACCACGATCTCAAGGCTGCTCTTGGGTTTCAACTCCACCGTGATCTGCTGGAGGTCGGCGGCGGCGGCCCGGACCTGCTCGTGAGACCTGTGGAGTCGGGAGGGCATGAAGCAATAAGGACCGACGGGGTTGTTTTCACGGCCTGACTGTTCTCCCTCCCCGAGGGGCTGGAGGGGGTTCTTCTGCCCAACTGCTCAGGAAAAACACCGCTGCTTTTTTACTGGGCTCTTATAACCCCCCCCCTTCGAGGCCCACTGGCGCGGTTCACAGACCTCTCAAATACAGGCAGTGCTATAGACCACTGGTTCTTAACCTTGGGTTACTCAGGAGTTTTGGACTGCAACTCCCAGAAGCCTTCACCACCAGCTGTCCTGACTGGGGTTTCTGGGAGTTGCAGTTCAAAAGCATCCGAGTAACAAAGGTTAAGAACCACTGCTAGACAACAGGACTCCCTGTATCCGCAGATTCATTCATCCACGGCTTGAAAATATTATTTAAAAGATTAAACAAAAATCCTAGGAACAGTTTTTTCTAAAGATGACGTTATCGGGACTGGCCACCAGAGGAAGGCAGAGACTACACTATGGATGGCATTTGCTATTAAAACAGTGTTCACTATTATCCACATTTTTCAGTATCCACCTCAGAGCTCGGAACCGATCCTCCGGGGATACGGGGGTCCTACTGTATATCAAGAACGGGACAGCTAGAACTCGTTCTTATTTCTTACGACCTGGAGGTGTGACTCACCTTCCGTCCTGCCCCGAGGACTGTGTGCGCCGCCTGGAAAGGGAAAAAAAAGTTGACTCCAATGGAAGTACTCCGGTTGAGCATCATCTCCCTCCTCCTATCCCCCACCCCTCGCCACCTAGAGAGAGAGATCGGCCACAAGCACAATCTTAAACTTAGAGTGGTCGAAATGACTAGATATGCGGGGTATAAATACAATAAATAAAAAATAAATAAATAAATAAATAAATTAAAGAGGGACGGCACGGAGGAGATCTCACAGAATGCTCTTACGGTAAGAGTCTTACCTATACCGGGGCTGCTCCGAAGACTCGGAAGGAGACCTTTCAGGCACAGATAAAGAAGTGGATGAGAGCGTGGTCGCAATGGAGGCGGTGGTGGCTTCTTCAAAAGATGGAGGAGTGCACGGGAGCAAATCCGGCCGGCCTGCAGCGACCGCAAGGAGAGAGAGAGAGAGAGAGAAAGGGGAAAAAAATCCGAATCAGTTGCAAGTTCAAAAGCGGCTTGAGTGTTCCTTTAGATGGAAGGAGGAGGATCGTGGCATGCTGTTAACACCATCAAGATACAGCTGGCCTGCTTGTTCAGCAAATACCCCCGAGGCCTTTCTCTGCCTTTATAAGAGGAATTAGCTCTCGCAGCAGAAAGAAACTCTTTCTGGGACACAGAAGTGACATGAGGACTTGGGAACTCATGACGGGTAAAGTTCACATGAACAAGACAGGGTGCTGGAGATGAGGCAAACTGGCGTTTGGCCCCGGTTAGGCCTCATTCAAAGTGCCGTGTCCAGTTCTGGACATGACACTTGAAGGAGGAGGACAACTAACTGGAGCCAGTTCAGAGGAGGGCAAGAAGGAGGATCGGGAGCTGGAAACCAAGCCCTATAAGAAGGAAAGACAGAAAGAACTGAGCGTGTTTAGCCTTGAGAAAATAAGACTGAGAGGAGACAGGATAGCACTCTTCAAAGACTTGAAAGGTCGTCCTACAGAGGAGCGGCAGGATCTGTCCTTAATTCTCCCAGAGAGCAGGACACATTGGTAATGGGCTCAAGCAACAGTGAAGCCAGATTTCAGCTGAATATCATAGAAAAACCTGTTAGAGCAGTATGACAATGGGACCCATGACCTTAGGAAGTGCTGGGTGTTCCAACGCTGGAGAAAATTGGACCATCGTGCGTCTGATCCACTTGGACCTGGATTCTTGCCTTGTGCAAGGGGTTGGCCCCAATGGCCTCTGAGGCCCCCATCCCCTTATTCCCTGATTCTAAGACAGTTCAGGAGTCAGGGATCGTGGTTCACGTTGGCCTGACCAGCCCCTATGACCACCTGCGTACCAGGAAGGACGCAGCTATGTCAGAAGCAACAGGAAACGAGACACCCTATTCTTTCTGGTGGTCACAACAGCATGTATACACTAATAAACACACACTCCTAAGGCCACACCTAAAGCAAGGCACACCAAAGAGAAGCAAACAGAAACAAACACAAACTGAAGATCCAAAGGGCAGGAGTCCCCCGGCAGCCTTATCCCTGTGCGTCTCTTGCACCAATCCTGCTCTCTCCACTGTGGCCCAGCCCTGCATGGGGTGAGGTCTCCAAATGGGGTTGTTTAACTTGAGGTCGAAGTTATAAATGGCTTCTTGCTGACAGGCCTGGAAAGAAGGGGTGCCTGATGGCCCACCAGACCCCTCAAGCTCCCTCACTCTCTCTCTTTTTATTGCTGCTTAGTCTGGAGCTGAAAATATCGGGAGTAAAAGGCAGGTGAGACCCTTGGTGAGACTCTGCACACACACACCCCCACAGGACATTCTCTAGTCTCGGTCCATATGATCCGCCTGCAACAGGCTTATAATAATAATAATAATAATAATGCAATCATATGCTGTCAAGTCCATTCTGATTCATGGAGAGCCTTTTCCAGGGTTTGCCAGGTAGAGAGTACTCAGAGGTGGCTTCCCCTTCCTTTCCTTGGGGGTGGGGGCAGGCTGGCTCTTCTCCCACGAGGCCCAGTGGGGAAATTCGAACTCCCTACCTCTGGCTTCCTAGTGAGAGATCTCACCGCCACCCACACCCCCGAGCGGTCCATCCCAACAGCTGTCTAAAAAAAAAAGGAATCAATAAACCTAAAGACAGTCCGCTTCTGGGACAGAGAGAAAACATTCAAGGACTCAGCCCGGCCGGGGAAGGTGAAATGGAGGGGCAAGGCCTTTGCAACTAAAAAAGTTTCCGAACCTCTTAATGAGGTTCCTGCGGTTGTCTTTTGGGATCGGTTGCAGAGAAGGGACCCTGCCCGCCCCCCCTCCAGCACTCTTTTCTAATGACTAAAGCGAGGGGCGGATCCGCGTTCCTTACCTTCCCCCTGGTCGTGGTTAACTTTAGCACCTGCGAAAGCACAGCAAGAAAATTGAGGGAGGAGGATTTGTGGGCGGTGAGCCTATTTCGGGGCACAGGGGCAGGCAGAGGCTCAACTTAAAAGGCAGCCAGTCCAAAACCAGCCCTCTTCTTGCGTTCTAGGTTACAACTCCCGTCATTCCCAGGCAGCCCGAAAGGAAACGGCCAGGGAACGACAGTGGGGGGTTTTGGACTTACTGAAAGGGTGCCGGGTTGGGGAATGCAATTTTAAGAAGCGTACAGAAGGACTGAGGGAGGATCAGGCTTCAGGAAGGGAGGATGAGGAACGCTACCTTCGTCATCCAGCGTGGGGTAGCTCCTGGCCCCCCGGAGATCGTACTGGGTCTCCTCTTTCTCCGAGGGGATCTGGCTCGCCGAAAACGCGGCCATCGGGCCTGAGGGCTTGATGCCGAGTAAGGCACTCCGGCCTTTCTTTGACGGAGAAGCTTTCAGAGCTGCAGAGAAGAAGGAAAGGTCAGTCTGTTTGGGGTCTGGAGAAGGCAGGCCAGGGCTGGCACCCCATAATTCAAATCCCTGATCCAAGAGAGAGAGAGAGAGAGAGACCACATCCTCCTTAGAGTGGACCATCACCCTGCCTGAGCAACGGCTCTCAGGGGTTGCCATGCATCAGGGTCCACCAAAACCGATCACGGGGATTAGCAAGAAGCTCTCTTGTGCATGCTAGGCAGCAATAAGGCTGTCACTCAACGGGCAGGTCTCTGGAAAGCCATTTTTACCACCTACCCCCAGAAATAGGGCATTCCTTCCTAAATCAGTTCACAACGGTCCTTCCTCAAGCTTCTGACCTCCAGAAGTTCGAGGCTTCGGTTGTCCAGACAACAACCTTCTGGGAGACCCAAAGCTGAGGCCACGGCCCTGGAGAACCACGTCTCTCGTCTCTGGAGGTCTGCTGCCCCCACCAAACACATCACGTATGCCTGGATGGGAGCAGCAGCCAAGGAACCTCTGGAGAGCCACCGGTTGTCCGACTCCAACTGGGAGGGGGGCAAGTTGGCCTTCCAAAGCCAACTTCCCCGTCAGCAAGAGTTTGGAGATCAGGCCGAGGGCAGACAACTTGGGGCACCCCAGATGTTTTGAGCTGCAATTCCCATATGCCCCCTTCTGCCTGAATAGCTGTGACTCGGGAACAATAACAGCCAAACACCCAAGCCTCTGGAAGCCACTCCGATGCCCATCCTGGTCTGGCTGAGGTGGGACGCAGCCCGGAGGGTACCCACCCAAACCTCTAAGGCCCAAATTATGGTTCTTGGACAGGAGTCTCCCTGGATTGGCTTTGGGCCTTCTCTGAGCCCGGGACACCCTCACAAGGTTGCTGTGAGTCAGCGAAGGGGGAAAATGGCAGGAGAATAACTACGTATGCCAGCTTCGCACTCTTAGAAGTGATAAAAACACAATAGTAGAAGCCACCATATATTGTTTTGCTCCAGATGAGTAGGGGGCGGTGGTAAAAATTAGTCAACAGGCAGGCTGGAGATAACGGGGCTTGTAATCTAACTACACTGCGGAGCAAAGGATTAGGAAAGGCCGCTAAAGCCAGCTGGCTTTAACGCCTCTTACTGACCTAGAAAAGCAGAATAAAAACCCAACAAAGAGGGCAAACAAACCACTTACAAGAACTCTTCCTGAACACCGTGTTGGTCATAAACTTAAAGAACCTTTCCGCGTAGAAGCTGGGCCGGTGGACCGACACTGTGTCCTAGAAAAAACAGGAGGAAAGCATCAAAATGATGATGATAACGTAGGTGGGGGAGGTGACCAACAATTCCCAGCCAGCCCCCCCCCAAGGCAATACATAAAAATGAGACAGCCACCCTCCGATTGTTGTTTTGCCTTCGCCCCATCTTAATAAGCTGCTTGATCCGACTTTCCTGATTGGCCATTCGGATTTCTGCACCTGGCTTTCCTCTTACCCATGTGCCCCCAGAATTATTATTAATGCCAATCGAGCAGCCATAGGCGATGGGTGTTTTCAACAGGGTGGGTTCTGAACCCCCAAGAGGCTTGCCAGTCAAAACTGAGACAAAGCGCATGGGAAAGTCTCCCCCCGCTCTTTGCTCACTTCCAAGGGCTGAGGGCTTTTCTTAACAGCCTCTCCCAGGTTCCGGCACCCAACGAGGGTGCCCAGTCATGGAAATACATCTTAGGAACATGTACAGGAGGCTCCCCTGATCAGCAGGATCAGTATCCACAGCTTCACTTATCCACGGTCCGAAAGCCGTTGCACTCTAATTGTATTGTGCTGTTTTTCCCCCCCTCTGTACTTGTTTTCTTTGGTTTTACCACTGTTTGCTGCCTTGGTGGCATTCTTTCAGAATCATGGCAGGGATAAATAAATGAAATCATCAACATCAAGAGGTGGGATCTTTTTCTCCACCAGAGAAGTAAAGGAGAACCTGAAGGGCCAGGAACATGGAATGGAGAATAGTAAGATAATGAAATCACACCAAGTAGACCTTGAAGGCAGAAGGAAGAGAAAGCAAGAGGTGGATTCATAAACGGTGTAAAGTCCCTCAGGGCAGAACCCCACTATTCCCGCTGGGTGTAAGAAAGACAGGAAAGGAGGAAGCAGCTGCCACGTAGCCGGCATGGCCCAAAACTCACCCCGTCGTGGACAAGCGCCTTCCACGTATGTTCCAGCTTCTTGATTAACCTGGATTGTAGGGTGGGGAAAAAAGTGTAGGGAAGGAAGGCGAGAGAAAAAATGAATAAGAAAAATTATGAATACAACTATGAGCTGAAACCAAAACATACCATTTCCTGCCTCAGTCAGTTTAAAAAGCTGGTAGAGCTGGGTCTCTCTCCTTGACAAACGGGGACTCAGGAGGGCCTGGGTTTGACTCCCTGCTCCAGTCGCGGAAACTCACTGGGGTGGGGTGGGGTGGACTGGCAATGGTAAAAGCGCTCCCTTAAATATCTTTCAGACCTTGAAAACCCTGTCAGTCACTCAGTCGTCTCACAGTGCAGGACGCTTAAGAATGGGCTCAAGCAACCGGAAGTCGGATTTCAGCTGAGTGTCGCAGAAAAACTTCTTAATGGTTACAGCAGTACAACAATGAGACCCATGAGCTTGGAGGGGGGGGGCGAATGCCAAGATGCTGGAGGCCTTCAAGGGGAAAAGTGGGACCTCCATCAGTTGGATCTGCTTGGATTTGGATTCCCACCTTGAGTGGATGGGGCGGGGGGGTTGGACTGGATGGCCTTACAAACCCCCTTCCAACTCCATGATTCTAGGATTCTACGAGTCTCAGCCAAAAAATGTGAAAGGGTTCAAGCTGAGCTCTGGAGCTGGGCTGGCCTTAAGGCGCCCCACCCGGAGCTTTGCCAGGGCGGCCCTTCCTGCCCAGCATGATTGTGACACAAGCCGAGACGACAGCAGTGACTCTGATTTCTCATCTGTCCCCACCACTGTGATTTACCTGAAGCAGGGATGGGGAAGGGTCTGAATTGGGGACTCTAAACGGGATAGATCCGGGAAGCAGCTGGCAGTATTGACCCCCCTCCCCGGTACCTCAAGAGCAAAGATCCAGTCCCTTTCTTAAACTAGAGAACAGAAAGGGGAAGGGTTCTGGGTTTTCTTTCTTTCTTCCCAGGAACAAGCTTACCTGTAGGACTGGAGAATGTCTATAATACCGACGTGGAGAAGGAGACGTTCCCCTTTGCCATTCACAGCGGGAATGCCCCCCATCCTGAACGGGAAAGACGACAGACCAAGCAGGTCAGTTCAGATCAGGCGGCCCTCCTAAAACCCGCGGGATCAAGGCACGTGGGCCACAAAACACCACCGGGTGAACCTGCAGAAGACTGTGGTGGCCAACTCTACGAAGGGCCACGAGATGGCATCACATGTCGGGGGGGGGGTGTGTTTCAACCCTTCCCTTCCCCAATCCCTCTGCTTACGTGTCGTCGGTGTCTATGGACTCCCCCCGGGCAGCCCCGCCCTGGATCGACTCCATGGCGGTTGAGTAAAGGGCCTTCTGGCCCACGGGGCGCTTCTCGTCCGAGGTACTCTGGGCACCGTCCACTTCCCGCTCCCGTTCCTGCTGGTCTATGTTGTGCACCCCAAGCAACAAGCTGTAGTCCATGATTTTAAAGCTCTCGAGGACCTGGAGAAAGAAAGGAGAGTGATTAATTTGAAGAACTCCCCCCTCCCATCCCATGGCTTGCTTCCTAAATTCGCTCTGCCAACGGGAGGAGTCTGCAGCCTTGAGGGAAAAAGCATCTCTTCTGCATACACACAAAAACTCTCCTCTTCAGTCCTAATTTGGGAAATTTTGATCCCTTGGTCCAAGACCCTACGAATGTCGAAAACTGTGGATAATAGCAAACCCTACACACAGCCTGGTCTCTGGCTCCCTCTAGCCACTGATTCTGGTAACTGTGTAGTGGAAAATACACACTTCTGGATTTTTATCTTTTAACACTTTCAGACCATGGACAAACGAGACAGTGGATACCGAACCCGTGGATACGGGGATCCTCCTGTATTTCCCACACAGGATCATGGGGGAGAACACCTGCCAGTCACTCTAGGGGACGGCTGTTTCAGTAGCCTTTCAGCTAATCTTAAAGAGACCCCGGCGTGTTTGGACTAGGACGACGTCCACGCTCCTGTCCTATAAAAGGAACCTGGTGATGCCTGGGCGGTGTACTTCCAGCCTGGGCCTACCTCACAGGACTGCTGTAAGGATAAAGTAGGAAAAAGAGACCAAAAAAATCCCTTAAACCCCCCTCCCTTGAGAGCTCATCAGAGGAAAGGCCCGTGGTTGAAAGCAAGCTGTCACGTTTGCCCTTTTGCTGCCTGCTTCCTCTGACGGCAAAAGTAACAAAACCTTTTTATTCTTTCCCCACGCAAATGTCTCTGCGTGAGTTACTGAGGCCCTTTGGGGCCCCCGTGGAGGGTGGGAAGGGGTGGACCACCCCTCTGGGGGACTAGAGACTATTCTGCTCTACGGATCCCTGAGCTGCGAACCATTTAAAAAACTCTGCCACAGACAGGGCCCAGGGTCAGCAGAAAGAGACCCAGCTGTCTGCCCGCTCGCGGCTGAAATGAATAAATCCCCCCCACGCCCGCCGGGGGGGGGGGCCCTACCAAGCAATCCCTCTGTAGCGTCTTCACCAGGGCGCTGAAGGTGTCAGCATCCAGCAAGATGCCCTCCGGCATGTCCTGCATGAAGTCCAGGTCCTTGTAGGTTGGGCTGGACTTCTCCTTCTCTTTCTTCGAGGCCCGGCGCTTGTAGGTCGAGCCCTTGAGGTCGTACTTTAGGTGCATCTTGACCACCCGGGGAAGGATGTTGTTCATCACCACCACCCGGATGTTCTTGCCCCCGGACTGGACGCAGTAGAGGCCGTAGAACTTGGGAAGCAGCGTCCGGGGGTTCTGGTTCAAATTCTAGCCCCGGATTGACGTGAAAAGGGTAAAAAGAAAAACCATCGTCATCATCAGCAGGGGCGAAACCCCCTCATAAGGCACCCAACCCAGCCCGAGGCTTGGACTCTCTGCCGTGCGTTCATCGGGCAGGTTGAATTTGGGGCAAAAAAGGAGGTTTTCGGGGTCATGCCTTTAGATCTGTTTCACGTGCAAAGCTAAAAGGGGGTGCTGCTTATGGACCGCCCCGTAAGAATCCTACAACCTCAGAGTCAGAAGGGGCCTCAGAGGCCATCCAGTCCACCCCCCCTGCTCCGTGCCTGAGTCCAAATTCAAGCCGATTGGACCAACGGGGGTCCCCGTTTCTCTCTAAGGCCTCTGGCGTTGGGTACACTCGTGCCCTCCCAAGGTCAGGGGTCCCATGGTCACACTGTTCTAAGTGTTAAGTTTTTCTATGATCTTCAGCCTCAATCCAGCTTCCTGTCGCTCGAGCCCTTTGAGGTATCCTGCCCTCTGGGATGATCCGATGACAGATCCTGCCCCTCCTCTGCAGGACCACCTTTCAGGGACTTGAAAAGCACTCCTCTCTCTCTCCTCCACCTTCTTTTCTCAACTGGTCCCGTTCTTTCCTTCTTTCCTCCTTCTAGGGCTTGGGTCTCCAGCCCCCTGATCGTCCTTCTTGCCCTCCTCTGAACTGGCTCCAGTTGGTCACTCCTTCGCACGCACCCCCCCTCGAACTCTTGTGTCTCCTGCCAGCCCACCATGCCCCAGACAGGGAGCCCCGGTACATACCATATAGTAGCCTGGGAGAAGCTTCTGGAGGAACTCTGCCTCCTTATGCATGACGGTTTTGATGATGAACTCGTCATCGCTGGTGACATAGAAGAGGGAGCCGCTGGCCCCTGGGTTGGAGAGCTCGATCAGGGGTTCGTTGCACAAAGAATACTTAAAGGAAGAAGAGGAAGGGGTTTGAGGGGGCACAGGACGGCAGGACAGCTAGACACGTCCCCACAGAAGACCACTGACTCGTGCGATCCAGAAACTAACTCACTTCCGATTCGTTTGTTCGTTCAGACTTTTTATTACCCCGCCTTTCTTTCTCCTTAAAAAAGGACTCAAGGTGGCTTCTATCATTAAATGACAATATGTCTCTGTGGCCCGGTCCAGCTCAGGCTACGGACAGGCACCAGGCCACAGATCAGGGGACCTCTGCAGTAAGGGACACCCGTCCATTAAAAAAACACACACACACACACACAACCCACTGAGGCCAGCCATCTGGTAAGGGGAAGCTCGCTTGAAGAAAGAGGTCTTCTTCGCCTGCTTGCGGAAGGACAGCCAAGCCGGGACCAGACTAGCCTCCAGTGGCAGGGAGTTCCAAAGGAGTAGCCACAGAGAAGGCCCCTGTCCCGTGTCTCCCCACCCAATCCACCTGTGAAGAGGATGGGAGATAGGCAAATCCTGCTGGCCATGATTCGCCTATCTCCCATCCTCTTCACAGGTGAAGAGGATGGGAGATAGGTGAGAGAAAGGCCTCCCCTGACCATTTCAACACTCGAGTAGGTGCATCATGGGGAGATAGGGTCTTTGAGAACACATGGACCAGAGCCGTTGAGCAATGACTTCCACAAGGAAATGGTCATGGAGCTCAGGACGAACAGCCGGTCTCCCCTGCAGTCCAACCAGCGGCCTGACTCAGGCTGACAGGACGCCTGGCCCCGAGATCGGGGAGAAAAGCCACTCTTACCAGATAGTCGTCCGGGCGGATGCCGAAAAGCTCTCGGAAGTACCGGAAGGCGACTGGGGCGTACGTTTTGAACCTGAAGTCAGGGTAGTGGTGAGCTGGGGTGAGGTTGCTGCCTTCACTGCATGTGGGAAAGAAGCAGAAAATGGCGGAACAGGTGAAGATTTGATGACCTCTAGCTCTCCTCGGGTCAACCCCAGACGGCGCGGCAACACTCGGCTCCCCAGCACCCTCCCATTTGGGGGCTCCCAGATACAGTCCTAACATGCCCAGCAGGATTCGCCTATCTTCAGGGGAACAGGTCTAATCCCCCCCAGATGCCGAAAAACGTGGATGATAGGAAACGCGACACATTTTCTGCCTATGGACTCCCTCTAGCAGGCTGTTCCGTCAACTTCCTCTTTAGAAATGTACTTTTCTAGGGTCTGTCTTTTATTATTTCCAAAATATTTTCAGACTGTGGATAACTGAATCAGTGGATACCCATGGACATGGGGGGTTCCTACTTGTACGCAATACGCGGTGACTGGGAGACGGCGGTCCAGGCTGGCACTGGGGGGAGTCCCCCTTTCAAAGCCCTCCCTCTCCACTTCATGTCCTTTACGTCCCACGGCTGCTCACCTGGGAAAGAAAATGCTCTCCACCACGTAGAAGTCTTGCATTAGGACGTCTCGCTCTGGCTTGGAACTCAGGTTGCCCACCGTGTAGCCGATGCCCAGCTGGATGGCCCCCTTAAGCGTGGACGACGTGGTCTGTGGGAATCGGGAAAGGACACACACACACATACCGAGTGACGGTGAGACTTCAACCACTACCTCCATACCTGCTCTTGGCAGGGGCACCCTGCTAAACACAGGGCAGGGGGTGGGTTGCCAGTCCCTTCCTCTCAGATTCTCCTCCTCAAGTCCAGAATTTCAGGTGCGCAGCTCTCTGTATCTTTTGGGGGGGAAGACTACAACTCCCACAATCTCGCACTCTTCTGCCTAGAACTATAATTCAAGCTCCACTAGCTTCACAGGTTTGTGCTGTTCAAAAGGGAGAGGAAGAGAACGAAGCAGCTTCAGCTTCTTCTTCTTCATCATCATCATCATCTAAGAACTGCAGAGATCTAGATCACCAAAGTCAGCCCCTCCCAAGAGGTCTGGCGGAGGAAGCGAACTCCCAACCTCTGGCTCTGTAGCCGGAGATTTTGACCCCTGTTAACAACAATCTTAGAACTCCAGAGCTGGAAGGGACCCCAGAGATCATCCAGTCTGGCCCCTGCCGAGGAGCCTGAGAACTACACCTCGGAGCTCTCTGGGGTCCTCCTGTGTCTCATTTTCCCAATGCTGCCACCCCCACAAGGCTTCAGCAAACCGTACCTTCTTGTAAGTTGTTTCACCTGATGCGTCCACCCCTCGGTGGCCAATCTTCTTCCCCTGGCCGGCCCCCGGCTGCCCTGTCAGAGATGGCGCCTGCAAAGCGAAAGGTCAGCCGGTGAGCAGAAACAAGCAAGCAAAACCGAGGGGCCTGAGCGCCAAGATTCAAAGCCACCTGGAGCAATCTGTTCCCACTCCCCCAGGGATAGGGGCCATATTTCTCAGAGGTCAGGGGTGCTGAAGGACCCTGGGCCGGCTTTGTCTCGCCTGTACGTATTTGCTGATTTTTCCCTCATGCGCTTGTAAACCCCCCTCAGGATTCCACACGTGGCTAACAATCATTAAAAGCCCTCTATCCACAAAGTCCAAGGATTATAGATATGTCAGGCTACAACCTCCACCATCACTACTGGGCATGTTGCAGGGGACGATGGGAGGGGCAGCCCAGTCAACATAGGCCACCAAGCCAGAGAAAGCTAATCTGAACCATTTAGTTTGGCCCCTTGTTCTGGATCGTCTGCTAAGATATCTGCTTCCGTCCGGAGGGGAAACCTTCTCTGAAGGCTTTTAAAGGAGAACTGATTAGGAGAGATTGAGCTGCAGCTTTCCTACTTCTGCAGGGAGTTGGTCTTAATGAGCCTATGAGTTCCTGATATCTACAGTTCTAGGATTCAAGGGTCCCCGTTTTAACACGGAAAGCGGACGAATCTCCTGAAGTCTTCCCATCACAAGGAATAGCCATCTCATCTGCTGATCCTCCCTCACTTCACCCGCAGTGGGACCAGGACAAACGCCTTTGGTCCTCCTCCAAAGGTCGGGGCCGGTTCATCGTGTTCCTTGCTAGGAGAAAAGAAACCAGAACTCACCTCTGTTAGAACCGCCTTCTTCAGAGCTGGGCCTGCGGGGAGAGAGAGAGAGAGAGAAGGAACGTGACGTGGTAAGATTCCTGTATTAATGATTTAAGCCGCCTGAGGTGGTTGTTGTTGTTTTTTTTAAAAGGAGAAAGGCGGGATAAAATAATTTAAATAAATATTTCTGCCAATTGTCTTGTCAGCAAGACCAGATCCCCTTCTGTCCATCCCCGAGAGACCCCGGCTCTGTGCTTAAATCTCCATTTTAAAAACGCCACAGCCTTCAAACTCATCCTGGTCCGCCCCTTACCTTTCCACTCCAACATCTTTTTTTTAATGGGAGTAGCCCTGTATACACTTCACAAGGAATTAAAACAGATGCAGGCACTTGGATCACCCATTTCACTCAGTACCATCCCTGGAATTGCAATGTTAATGAACCAGACGTTTCTTCACTCTACTACTACTAGGTCTGGTGTGTCTGTCAGTTTGGATCAGTTAGGAAGTTTTTCCTGATATTTGGCCTAAAGCAGGCTTTCTGCAGCTTGAGGCCATTAGGAGGCGTCTTGAACTCTGGGATGATGTAGATCCTGCCCCTCCTTTTTAGGACCATCTTTCAATGGCTCTCCTATCTCCCTTCAGTCTTCTTTTCTCACGGCTAAACCTGCCCAGTTCTTCCAGTCTTTCCTCCTAGGGCTCAGTTTTCAGTCCCCTGATCCATCCCAACAGTGGTTGATTTTCAGGAACCCATATTTAGCATGCATAAATCATCACAAGCCACAAAGCATCTGGGACCAGACCTCGACTACATGGTTTCCCGCAGCTATTCATTATGAAGATGGAACTCCACACAAACACACTTCCCCCCCCCCACAGCAAAGGCAATTCCAGAAGAATCTGCGGCAGCTAACCCCCCCCCCCCCCGCACACTTGTCAAAACTCCAGAGCAGGAGATTAGCTCCAATTTTTTGCAATCATCACTAGAAGCCGCTTTGTTAAATGCCTAATCAAGCTCGTGGGCCGTGATTTGGTGCCGCAGTCCACGGGCGGGCTCAGCAACCTGGAGGGGGGAGTTTGAGGCTTCTGCTGGCATTTCAAGCATGCTTACACTTCAAGTGCGCAATGGGAAAATCCGATTTGCAACAGCAGCATCAGTGAAGGGGGGGAAGCCCGTAGTTGGCCACTGGCCAGGAGCATTAAGGAGCCACTTATCTCTTAAACAAGCTGACAGATGGCCTGGTGAAAGACAACACACAATACCCACCCTAACAACAACAAGTATAAGTCCAACTTCAGGGCAAAGCTGTACCACCAAGGAAAGTAAGGTTTAAGACTGGATTCCTATAGACCAGACCTGCTCAACGATTTTTGGGCATGGCGTACAACTGTATAGAAAAATGTGAATGTGAAGTGCAAGCAGGCACCCATCCAACAGGGATAGGATGGTCACAGCAAGGAACCAGGTTCCCAAACCACACCAGCACCAAGGATATAGAATCGCTAACAGTCGGAAGGGGGTCCCATAAGGCCATCCAGTCCAACCCCCCTGCTCAAGGCAGGAACCCCAAATCCAAGCAGATTGGATAGAGGGGGGTCCAGTTTTCTCTTGAATGCTTTTAGCACCCCTCAAGCCAGAGACTGGTGAGCAGGGTCATCTTGCATCCCACCACACTGTCCGGCCATCATATGTCCACGCTGCACACGCAAGGCCTCGTCAGCAGCTCCCCAGCTATACCACAGTGCACGATCTGGACATCACAATTGAAGGAGGACGTCAATAAACTGGAGAAATTTTAGAGGAGGGGGAACCAGGATGATCAGGGGGCTGGAAACCAAGCCCTATAAGGAGGAAAGAAAGAAAGAACTGGGCCTGTTTAGCCCGGAGAAAAAAAGATGGAGGGGAGAGAGGATCGCTCTCTCCAAAGACTTGAAAGGGCGTCCGGCAGAGGAGGGGCAGGATCTGTTCTCCATCCTCCCAGAATTCAGGTCATATCCTTATGGGCTCAAGCATCCGGATATTTGGATAAATATCAGGAAAAACATCTTGAATGTTGGAGCAGTATGACAACGGAACCCATGACCTCAGGAGGGGGTGGGGGCTCCGACGCGGGAGACCTTCACTTGGACCCCCATCTGTCTGATCTGCTTTGACTTAAGATTCCTGGGCAGAGCTGGGGGGGGGGGAGTTGGATCCAATGGCCTTAATAGGCCCTTTCCAACTCCATTATTCCGTGATTCTATGAGCCCTGAAAGATACAACCTGCATTTCTTGATCTGAATTCAAGACAGGTGACAACAACTAAAGAAAGGGGCTTTCCTGGAGATGAAGCCCCTCTGTGGAAGTCCCTCCGCAGCTAAACACGGCTGGGAGCTTTCAGGACAGGTCAAAACCTGTGTGTTTTCTCCCCAAGCATTCCCCCCCATTGATATATTGTTGTTGTTTTTTTCTTCTTTTTTTGCTCTGATCTGTTCAAAGGGGATCACGCCGCTTTTATTTTACCGGAAGCAACCTCTGGGAATTTTGAGAATGGTGCCGAAGCTGCTCGGCTGAGCAAGAGTGTCTTACAATGACAAAAGACCAAAGATTAAAATAAGGGTTGCCGCGCAAAGCTTTGGCAGGCTGCGAAAACCATCAAAGGCGTGAAGTATGATCTCAAGTGACGTGTGTGCGCGCCTGCATGCACAGTCACACAACGGTGGTGGGTTGGGGAAACGGTAGGAGGTTCAGTCAGAGGGAGCTAGAACCCAGTTCAGACAGCAAGCCTTATTTCGCCAAAGTTGTGTATGACGGTATCATTAAACAATGATCAGCGGCATGATGGCAGCAATGAACTCATGGATGCATGGTACGCAATTAAGAACCCTTGGCCCTGATTTAAGCCAGAGGGGGAAGAACTCAATCATTGCATGAAAAGGCAGTTGGGTTGTTTTCTGCAACCATGCTGGTTGGGGACGATGGGAGTTGCAGTCCAATGCCTTCGAAGCCTGCGGGAGCTGGATTCATAGAAGGTCCAAGGAAAGGAAAATTGCCCTTCCTGGAGGCGTGTCTTGTGCTTTTTGCCCTAGGAACTGTCAGTTGAAGATAAAATACAAAGATAATTGAAAGGCAGTCCTCCAGAGGAAGGGCAGGGTCTGTTCTCCACCATCCCAGAGTGCAGACATGTCATGATGGGCTCAAGTGACAAGAAGCCAGATTTTGGCTGAATATCAGAAGAAGAAAAACTTCTCAACTGTTAGAGCAGTACCTGAAGGGAGCCAATTACCTTAGGAGGTGGGTGAGTACTCCAGCATTGAAGGCTTTCAAGGGAAAACTGGACCCTTATCTGTCTGATCTGCTTGGATTTGGGTTCCTGCCTTGAGCAGAGGGTTGGGCTGGATGGCCTTATGGGCTCCCTTCCAACTCCATGATTCTATGTAATATAGATGGAAATTGAAAAGAATCAGGATGAAAACATCAGCACGCCAGCCACAGAAGGTGGAAAGGGAACCAATGAGAAACCCTTTGAACCATTTGAAAGATAGAAGGCAAGATCCAACTCTCCAAAAAAAAAAAAACAACATTGAAAAGACAAGTGCCCCATTTGCCTTCTGCCTCTGGTCTTCTCAGCCAGATGGAAATGCAGAAGAAAGGCCCTCATTAATAAAGTCCAAAAGAGTCATCATTTCATTATCTGGTCTAGCCGACAAAGGGCATGAACGGCGCAAATCAGAACAAAGTGATCGTTTCAGAACAGTCTGTTCCGAAAAAGGCAGCCTCTTTAGACGGCTGCGTTCTCTCGGGAGGAAGAGCAACAGGCCAAAGGGGGGGATTTAGAGGGCAATAAGAGAACAGCAAGGGAGAAAAGCGTGGACAGATAAATGTTTTTCAAGAATAAAGCCTTGGTACGGAAAACCACATGTTAACAACTGGAAGCGTAAGAAATGGTGTGAAAACCATGGACTCCAAAGGAAGGGGTTCCCGATCTTGGGTCCCCAGATGTTCTTGGACTAAAACTCCCACAAGCTGCGCCTGGCCAGGCTTTCTGGGAGTTGTAGTCCAAGAACACCCAAGTCGGGACCTACTGCTTTAAGGGAGATGCTAGAAAAAAGCAAGCAAACCAAAGCCTCCGATTTCTCCCCGTTTGCTACTGCAGGGTCGAGGAAGAGAAACAGGCAAGCTGGTAGGACTGCCTGGCAGGAGAGGGGTTTATGTGTGTGAGCCCGACACAAACAGCGCCTTTCCCACACGACTGATCTTCTCCGCACGCCAGCTGCAGAGGGCCGTCATTGAAGGTAATTGTGGCCGTGAACGCGGACGAGGCCGCCTCGTCGGCAGGCAGCGCTCAGCAGATGCCGTCATTGAAGGTAATTGTGGCCGTGAACGTGGACGAGGCCGCCTCGCTCGTCGGCAGGCAGCGCTCAGCAGATGGCAAAGCAATTCACCAGAAATTTCTTCCTTTTGTCCTGGAGGGCCCCGAAGAACTGGGTTGTTGACTCGGCAGTCACACGGGTAGCTTCGCTGACAAAACAAAGCGGCTTCTTCCTGTGAGGACTGCAAAGCAGATACAGCGCCCGGCTTCAAATCAGCATCCGTTTCAGCTCCCTTTGGTGTGTCTCTGTTGCATCTCCTTCCCCCAGGTTCTGCTGGTCACCTCCGCAGTTCTTTCCATACCTCAATTCCTGGGCCTCTGGCTCTCCTCCTTCCTCTGACCCTTTCCCCCTGCTGTCTCTTCCTAGCTGAAGATGCTTTTATGTCTAAAAGCGAAGAAACTATGGTTTCCGCACCAGTCTTTTTCCTAGGAGAGCACCCAGCTGCTCGGCACACTTATATTTTCAGGTTTGAAGGGTCGGGCAGGGGGTGAGGGTTTCATCCGAGAAGTCGGGAGGACCTCGGCCAGAATGGATAAATGATCTGACCTGGGGAAAACCATGTAATGGATCTTTCCTCTGCTGGGTGGTGAACGTTTTCTTTATACCAAAGTGAATAATGCTAACAGCGCGAATAAAGGGAGGCAACCTACAACAGAGGAGTCAAACATCATCCACTGAGCTTCCTTGCTTTTGCAGAAGCATGGATTTGGATCCACCTGGCCAAACTCCATCCCTCTCTAACCCTTACGTCACCCTGTCTCTCAAGACACCCTGACCCCATGACATATCTGTGCTTTTCCAACAGCTAGCTGAGACTGGAGTCAAGAAAGGTAGCCCCTACAGAGGAAAGGCAGGGTCTGTTCTCGATCCACCCAGAGGGCAGGACCCGTCAGAAGGGGCTCAAGCAATGGGGAGCCAGGGCGGGGAAAACTTCTTAATGGTTCCTTGCCA